CCCAAAACACGAAAATTCGCCGCCAACTTCTGACTTGTGGTCTGGCTCCATTCTCTACCTCCTTAGCATAATTAAGTACAAAAAAGCGGCTCTCGGTTTCGCCCTCAATAGCTTTCCCACCACACAAGCTTGGAGAGGTTTAAAATTGGAGAAGAAGAAGTGGAGTCAGAGAACTGATATGTGTCTGGTCAAAACCACGACAAAATATTGTAGCCATCTGCTGGTTGTCTACTTTCTTTAGCAACAGCTTGCGATAGCTTTCCGGGGGTTTTTCAGTGAGTAGCCGTAAATTCAATTCAATCAAGAAATTCGGTTAGTTTTACCTCGTGAGCACAATTATTGCTTCTTTTGCGTGTTGCATTTGCGCAACTGCCGCTGATGCTAGAACATCTTCGACTAACTAAGTCGCTAAAGTACTGTGAAAACCACTGCTCATGCGAGTGATTGTGGCTTGATGATAGCTTGACGCCTGTGGCGACACGAAGCGGGACAACCGTCACAAAAAAAACTTTATTGCCGCCCAATTTTTACGACTACCCTTGCAGGTGGTCTTTCCCCCTCCCCAACGAGACCTTCAGCAGTCGTTGAGCCTGACATCATTTGACCCACTGACACACTTGAACTCCGTCCCTAAATTCCTTCATTGGAAGAAGAGGGAGTGTGGATGGTGCATGCACCGTCTGAGGCAGCGAATCTTACAGATTTCTGTCCATTCCAGCGTGATTCTTCCGTCACCCCGACTACCACGACCCCTCCTCTGAAAACCTGGGAACCTAAAAAACGACCCTTCTCGTTGGGGAAATTTCAACAAACGGTTGATCTTCGACAAAAGTTGTAAGCGAGCGTAATATTCGCGCTCATAGAGGTAAAACTTCCAGAGGTGGTGATATTATAGCAGGCTAGGCAAACTTTTTTTGAATCCGCTGTTGGTGGCGCGAACCCTAGGCATTCGCTTCAAAAAAAAGTGATTTTCGTATACTAATGTTCGTGGGAAGAAACTCTGAGACGAATCTTCCCTGAAAAATTACGATCCAAATTCTAAGTTCGAAATCTGAGGCAGCAAAAGGTACTGTATAATGACATCTGCTGATGGTGGGTTGTTTTTTGGATAACTGCTGTTTTACGCCGCAGTTCGCGTTGCGAAAGTTATCACAAGAATGCTGAGTTGTGGGCAAAACTTTCGCCCCAGCGGGATTCGTACCCGGATCTCTCGCTTTCCGGGCAATTGTGCTACCAATTACACCACCGGTGTACCATGCTGATGAGCTATGGTAACTTTACCATAAAAGGCTGAGTTGGGGTGAAATGGTGCTCCGGTTGTGTAACTGGGAGCACAATTGGCCAGAAAGCAAGAGATCCAAGCAGCAGATACACCGTAATTGAACCTTACGGCGTGGGGCGAATTCCCTATAGAGAGCGATATTTGCGCCACTAACTCGCATTTCTGTTAGGGCCTGAGCAGTTTCAGGAATGTGTCACGGTAAACTATAGAAGAGTAAATATACTACTAAAGAGGGGACCCCTTGGGGTTGAGACGGTGCGCATTTCGCTGGAGGATGCGCCCCCAACGGCCTAGCAGGGCCGTACCGGCTGCGCTTGCGGCTCTATACGCCCACCGAATGGCTACCACCTTGCTGTCGGACTCTAGCCGAGTACTTTAGTAGTTTTAGAGAGGCAGAGCAGAGCACTCATGCTGATGACGTAAGCACCAACGAGACTCCCCCAATACCGAAATAAAGGGTGAGAACAAAGGTCCCACTTCGCAGGTCTCAAATCGTTTTCTTAGTTTTCTTTTTTCAATGCATCATTGGCTACCTCTAACTTAAATCTCAAAGGGCGATCAATTTACCGAGAAATCCGCCAATATCGATATGCCAATTAAAGGAACCTTCTCGGAAACTAGTGATTTCTATTTATCCATCATTCCCTGGCCAATTCGTTCACGATACCGAAGGGAAACGACAAAATTGCATCGTTTTGGTAGGGAAAAATTTGAAAAACCGAAAGGGCTGCTACGCGTTCAAAGTACCGCCGGACATCTGTCACAAATGCTGGCGACGGGAATGCTTCCACTTGGTTCTTGAGTGCCTTCACTAGAAACTCTTTCTGGCCTTTTGACTTATTGCATTCACATCTCACACTTCTACTGCATCCTATTCTATCGATCGATTTGTCTCTACTCTCAAATCGCGCTTTAACCCGATTCTTTCATTGCGTCGCCTGATACGTAGCCGCCCAAAGGCGGACTTCTTTCCATGCCCGCCTTTGGCTCCGCCCCACTTACCTTCGATTGTCCATAGAGTGGTTTTGTAAGTTTGTTTCTCTTCGGAAACTGAATCTTTGTGCGTGAAAATCTTGCATGTTGCTCTCAACACAACTGCCATATGTGTTGGGAAGAATGCAAGATTTTTTTCGGGGAGGATTCCGTCAACTGACTTCATGGTGTGCTAACAAACTTCAATACAACATATTTGCAAACAACTCACAACAATTATCTGTTCTGTATCATCAGCAGCGTCAGTTGAGGATGAACTTTCTGGGACCGCTATTGAGCTTTCCTCAAGAAGAGACTCTGCCATGCAATCACTTTCAGGCGGCGTGCTCGATGGCTCCGTTTTAGGCGCCTATAAACGGCATGAACGATGGTTATGGCCAGGTGATTTATCTTAAGACATAAGTTCATAAGATGAAGACAGATTCAAGTCGTAAAATTTCTACCTTATTGGACTTCAGTATTCCAGTCGTTCCAACTCTCTTTTCTGCTCTCCTGTCTCTCTTTCCGACACAATATGCAATTGTATTGTTCAAAAAGAGAGCAACATTTTTTGCAGTCAACTTCTCCTTAATCTAAAAGCATACATTGGTAAAACTTGAACTTTTGACTTTTCGTCAAAAGTCTTCGCTTACTTTTAACAAAACCATCTTTTCGTTGAGATCCGTCACAACGTCTTCTGTCACCATCTCTTCGTTCATATGGAGAGTGTTCAAGTTAGTATCGAAAGGAATATTATCAGTTGTCGACACCATTCTAGAAAGGAGAGGAGCAGCCTGGAAAAACAGTACTGACAAACTTCTCCGATTCAAAGCTGTCCAACTACGAACCAGTAGAAACAGTAAGCCAGTACATCGCAGACAAGTAGACCAAGAAACCCTAGTTGCACCCAGATTAACTAGTAAGGTGATCGGATATTATCGAACTTTTTAAGAGCTATTAGGGAAACGGTTTAATGAAAGAGCGAATGTTGGCCCACTCTGAAAAGGATATTACAACATTACACATGTCAAAAGCTTCTGGGTCAAATTTGTACTGCTGTGGCAAGAAAGCTCGTCAGAGCTTCACCAACACATGAATGGGTGCGCATTTTTCGAGGCGTAGAACAGCCATTTTTCAGCAGGTGAAAGAACCAGAGAAAAAATTCATTCATTATCATAATCAGGTATGGATAACTATAGTACTTGAATACTCCAAAGGAGTTCAGTACGCGTAAAAAAATGTGGCATGGAGGTCTGGCATGTGCATATTAGCGTGACACGCGAGCGCGTCGCACCGCCACGCGCCCACGCGGTTTGGAGACCATGGCCACGTGGAAAGGCATGGTCTCCAGACGATTTGAAAACCATGGCCGCGGGGAAGGGCATGGTCACCGAACCGCAAGGGACAGCGAGACGCGCTCGCGTGTCACGCTGCCACGCACATGCCATATATCCGTGCCACACATTTCCCACGCGTAATCCCTTTAAGGCTATTCATGTTTACTCTTTCCAGGAGCCTAAAAGCGTGTCTGTAAAAAACCAACTGGGCTCCGTACCACCGTGGTGCGCCGTTATAGAGGGGTACGACAGTAACTACGAGAGTGCATATAGTTACACAGGTGTGCAATGACGATGAGATTTACATACGACCCAGAATATAACTACTGAACTGTTGACAAGGGTAATTTACTCACAGCTTCCAAATAATGTGCCTTGCAAATAATCTTCTCCTTCAACGAGCACCCATTGTTGATGTTCAAAGCAGAATCCAAGCTCATGTTTTTGTAGGTCATCATCGACGCTAACAATACCAAGACGTGACGAGGATTAAATGGAGGAATTTGTCCGCGTAAATACTCGCAAGACTTTCCACAAATGACGCACACGTATTTTTTTACTCTGTTCGTTTGCGGCTTCTGAAATATGCGATTTTAGCCAAAAGCAGATGATTGCATAAAACATGTGGAAAAAATTATTTCAGAGAAGAAAGAAAATAGTAATAACAGATTATTCATCACAGAAGCAGGACTCGAAAATGGAATTTGAACTACCTTTGATCAGAAAGATACCTGATTAACGGTTCAGAAACAAGCACTGCTGGAACGTGATAGCTTTCTAGACACCCAAATCATGTGATTATTTTCGGTTTTTTTTTGACATGAGAAGTATAAGGGTTAATATTTCTGGTAAGGATTAATCGCAGAAGAAGGCGCAGTACCACATGAGCTCACTTTATCAGTATCGAATAGGACATCTGGGTTCTCGTCATTGCTAATGGTAGAGGCAGTGGCATTGGCAATCTAAACATTCTGATAAACTTCGATAAAAGAAATGACATATCAACAGCGGCTGTGAGCATCAAACTTCACTCGTTTCCCTAATCGTAAGTTCATTAGCCACAATTACGGCCGTTAATTTTGCCTCCAAGCAGTGACCACTCGGAAGTTCAGCGTGTCACTCGATCTTTTCCCATTTCCTAGAAGAGGCCGCACTCATACTTCGACCTGCCCGCGTTAGCGGGCCTGAATGCGGCCTCTTCTAGGAAAGTATGAATCGAAAACCACTGATTATTTGGGCGTATTATTGACATCTGTTCCCAATTTCGAACGTTGAAGGACAGCAGCCAAAGCTTCGAAGAAAATTTTCATCGTGAATTTCGTCACCTGTGATCGGCTGCGGAAGGGGGAGGGAGGACAGTGGTGGAGGCGGGGGGGGGGGCGTAGGGAATGCAAATTCCACCGAAAGAATTACCTTAAGAATTTTGGGGTAGAAGTTGAATGCTAACTATGGGCCGAATAGGTACATTCAATGCCACTACCCAACAACCCCACACTCGAGAAAAAAAATGCACGGAAATTTTGTTTTAAGTGTATTCGAACCTTGTAACGAATACAACCATAGAAGAGTGTTGATCAATCCCCTGTTTGGGACGCGGCACGCATTCTACCTCCATTTTCCATTCATAATAATAGTGGCGTTTTGAATGCGATGTGGCCTATACAATGACTTGCGGGGGCCAGCCGATGTAAAAGTGTTTTTATCCTCCCAGACAAGTCTGGTACCAATTAACCGACCCCGGAGGGATGGAAGGCTTGGTTGGCCCGGACTACGATCCAGGATTGATCAATCCCCGGACCAAGCGCGTGGTGAGCAGCGCCGCTTGCTTCTACACAAATTCCGTCTTCTCGTATTGAGCAAATTTATGCAGAAGATGACCTGCGTCTTTTCATTTCATTCACCATTCATTTTGTACAATGATCACAAAATCCCTTTCAAGATATCGTGTATTTTTTCAATCGGTATCCTATAAAAAAGTAAGATTTTGTTTTGGAGGCTAACGGCTTTTATTCCGCTTTCAGAGACACAGTACATTTAGCTGATGACTGGAGTAGCGACATACCCAAGTTTAAAGAACACAATCAAGTGAACGTAGAAGTGTAAGAGGAAATAAATCGTTAATGGAAAACAGGCCGACCTCCAACAAGCAGGGGACGCATACGGGTTTCGCAGGCGAAGGGTGTGCTCAGAGGCCTATGAGGGGCCATACCGTGTAGCAGGCCCCATCACAATTTCTCGCGTGTCTGATCTGGCCGCTTTCAGCAGAGAGAGCGTTAGCGTTGAGGAGGGCAGCACCGACGAGACACGCCTAATGTGCGAATCAACGAGAAAAAAAGAGTGCCCATTTCTCGAGGAGGGAGTGGGCTAGATTGGATGCTGAGGTAAGGAATCCAATCACCCTGTGATCTTAGCGCGCAATTCATTCTAATGTCCGCATTGCTAAGTCGCGCTCTAATACAATCCCAGAGTAACGCTCACCCTACCTGTGATTGAGTGCATTCTAACCAATGAGAAGGGCGTGGGAGCAGAAGATAGGCATTGCTCTACCACCGAAATGGATGCCATCTTTGTTATTAGTGTACCTAATTACCCATCACGAGAATTTCTAGCAAAATTATATATAGATAAGCCGTTGGCACTTAGTCAAAAATGAAAGTTGCAACAGCTTGTGTAAACTGGTGCCAAATGCCACACCAAGAACCCAATGCCATATTCGTCAGCAACACGAATTACCTCTATGAGCAACGTTTGGACGAGATACTTCGAGGTTTCTGGTTGTGATAGTAGAATGTTGCCTAAGCTGATTTCTGAGCGGCAAAATTTGAAAGAGCAGTCTCATGGCACGTGAGTTTACCCTTGCTAGAAACGGATTTTGTGATTGAAAAGACCACTGCATTCGAGCTCTTGCGCTCGAAAACGGATGTTTTGTAATCAATGGTCCATCAGTAATGAAGAAAAGAAAGCAAAAATCTCCTCAAAACAGTTGAAATCATTACGCTGACTGCACGGGCGTGGTGTGCACCCCACCTGTGTAATAACCTTATTGGTCGTAACAAGGACGCTAGACGCTGAAGTTTTTGGTCAAAACCACGAAATTATCAGGGACCGCCCACCGTTCAATATCTTGTCTGTCGTCGCAGTGTTGCGTTTTTTCTCAGCTATGCTCTCTCTTCTCGAACTTCTCTACCGCTCTCCGCGCTCACATTATCTCTCATCTCCCTGCCTGCCTTTTGACTTCTCCGCAGCCTAGTAAAGGGCCGTACTTCCTGTTTTTCATGATTTCTTTCCCTTTTTTCTACTTGCCGTCTACCTCCGGTCCATACTTTCATAATTTATCAGGATTATCACATCAATTTGATCCTGATTCTTCACTTCACCCTTTGAGTAGGATGTTAGTGGTTATCCTTCTGCGTCAACTTTGAAAGAAAGGTAGTTGGAAAGATATTTACCCTCCCCTTCAAAAAGCGAGAAAGTGTCGGGTGCAGACCATGCACCACAAGTGACGACGGCCTTCACAAAATGTTAATGTTTTCTGCCAATGAAATGATTAGCCTGTTGCAGTTGTATTCTATCGATTGTCACTAATTACAACTATCATTTACCAGAAATCAGCTATCACTATGAACAACTTCTAACCAGATTTACTTGGAGGCCGTCGTCAGTTGTGGTGTTTGGTCTGCACCCGACACTTTCTCGCTTTTGAAGGGGAGGTTAGTACACATCCCTGGTCCTTTTACTGTCATCATTGAATGAAGTAATCACTATATAACGGATGTGAAACTCACATCCTTCTGCCGCGCCCGCCGCTGCGCTCGCCTGAGATTGATCCAGGTCGGGCATTGTCTTACATATTCGTCGGACATACGATGTTGTGTTGATCATTTTTGCTCTATTTCAAGTGTGAATCCTACCCTGAAACACTGTTTCCTGAACAAGTAAAAACTTTCCGACATTTACACTTTTCCCAAACAAATTGTGGTCTTCCTGAATCGAGAGTGAATGTGCTNATTTCCTGCGCCCACGTCCCTGCACACGATGTAAAACTAAATTCCCCTTCAACCCCGCCTTAATCGAGCAGAAATTCCCCTTCAACCCCGCCTTCCTCGACGCACACCCACCCACCATGAGCGATTGGCCTTCCTCATTTACTAGGTTCTTCTTGCTTTTTCCCCGTAACATCCAGTCCGTTTCGGAGCTTGATCACAAAATCATTATTTTAGCTCTGTCAACTCCAGCACGTTTAGTTTCCTAAACGTCCGGAACAGAGCTGTGAAGTAAGGCGCCCAGTTGAGTACATGCTTCGCCACTAGTGGGTAGGCCTCGTTTATTTCAGGGATATTAAAACGGGCCTTAGACGCCCGTTATCCCCGATTTTTCCTGGGCGTTTGGTAGTCATAGAATTGAAATATGAACTTTTTTAGGGAACACTATCTACTTGAAGGAAGCCTCGCCTACCGCGGATACATTTCCTTCACCTCGTTCATCAACCCACTCCTCAACTGGTCGCTTGCACATGTTAAACCGATTAGCCACTATCATACCAACCAACAAAGCATGCTTTGATTTAAAACACATTCCATGGAAAAGTTATAGATCCTGCGCTCGAAGTGGAATACCTTATTTGATACCCTATCTATAATCAGAATAATGATGCTGCTGGCAACACACAAATGGGCGGAGCACAGACGGCGGAGGCGGAGCTCAGGAAGGATTGGCAGCCCAGGGCGCTGCAACTAGCGCGCCTTTAGGCCACAAAAAGGCCACATCTCGCTCCCTTCAGCCCCTGACTACTGCTTCCAGTGGTGCGCTTTCCATGCTTGCACACACACTGTCGCAATCCCTCCCTTCAAAATAAAAGGTGATGGAAAGCTGTGAAAATTGGCATGTCAAAAAACTCACCGAAATCTTCAGACGAAATCCTCAACAGCAGCTCGTCGAGTTCCTGTGCAGCTGGTCGGCTGGTGTTACCGTCTCTCAACTCATTGCATTTTCCGATGATAAGGCGACGTGCTGTTGCTTTTGTTGTGAGACGAGGCTCGCAAAAATGCGGTCGTTTTGGATTCTGTGGATCAGTGGTAAGTAGCCGTCAAGGATACGGCAAGAAGGCACCGGAAGATTATGCAGCCACAGCACATGTACAGATATGTGGCACCATCAACCAGTTGCAGCTGACAGAACCATTCATAGCAAAGGTCATGATCGTCCGGGAAGATGTACACAGCCACATCACGACCACGTTGCTGTGATGGCACAAACTGCGCACGTACAGGCGTGAAAGCGCTTTATTCGCGGGAGCTGCGCATATCCTGACATATATTAGCACTAAGATTGCCGAGACTAGCTAGTAGGCCACAGCTCCGCATTTTAATCGCAAAATGGTTGAGTGGACAGCTTCTCGGAGTAATCGTCACTGTAACATAAGTATTTTCGAATGTCAACACGATTGTAACGGTAGAGGCGCTATCGCAAGATACCGGGGCAAGCCTCAGAAGGATGGACAACTCAGGAAAAAAAGAAAGCTGCTCACGACGCTGGGCCTACTCATCCTTTCCTCCCCTTCGCCCCTTGACAATAAAAAAAAAATCTTTGGTACGGCTTTAAATGCGTCCCTGGCGCGATTCCCCCGCATCGTGCGATAGCGCCGCGGTAGATCGACAACGAATTGATAACAAAGAAGATGGAATAAAGGATAGAAGCAAAAAAATGTGGAGACATCAGTTCTAGCGACGCTACAGCCCCTCGCCTTCTGATTAGGCGTTCGCCGCTATCGCATTACTATGGGGTCATTTCATTTCGTAAACGCCTGCAACGTGTCTAAAGTTCAACATTTTTAGACATGTCGAATAGGGGTCCGGAGCCCAGACAGGAGACTTTCATGTTTTACCTAGTAGTAAGGCTAGCTCTAGAAGGAAGGAAGGAGAGCAGAGGCGCTATCGCAGGATACGGGGGCACTGTAGAGGCAACGCATTTCAAAAACATTTTCTTCTCGTCAAAAAAAAACTGGTCGCTTAGGGAGAAGGGTGGCCAAATTGCGCGACATTTTATATTCCCGATCTTTTGGCCCCTTTCGGCTAAGCTAGAAGATGTCGTATTTAGTAGCGTCAATAACAAGCAGATAACTACAAATAGACGCAAAAGACTAGCGGATCGCGTGAAATGAAACGCGTGCATTGGACAGAATATACCCTCGTAACGGTGCCGTTCTTAGCTTAAACGAGGTTTGCGGAGTAGTAACCTGGTTGAAAAGAGACGTATACAGCGATAGCACCGGCGATAGCAATGGATTTCAGCGTGACCGCGTTGCCACCCGTTGATAGAGTTGCGTGGTAGAGCTGTTTATAACGTACTCCGCTGGATATCAGCAAAGCATGCTGAAAGCAGCTTATCGGGGCAACTTCTTATCAGTGCGGCCGTCCGCCACGACCAATCCATAGACACGCATAATCCGACTTCGAGATATGGATTGCACGTCCGCCTTCATTTTATCCGGCTATTGCATGAAAAAATCTATCAGAACCAACATTGAAGAAAATTGCGACCCCACGCAAAAAATGAACATTTGTAAAGCCATGGTCCCCGTGATACACCAGTTGTTTCTGTATCATTCCCTTTGGCTCAACAACGCGATCCTCGTCAGCACGTGGATGATTGACGCTAGAAAGGACGCAACATGCTGTTTCCCTTGATGCAGACTCTGTGGCAACCACGATCCTGATATGCGAGCACTCCACGTAAAGACGTTCAAGTTCGCGACTCAGTGGTAGGCGATAGACATTGAATGGCGTGATTACACGCTGGTTTCCCCATGGTTTGCTAACCTCGCCGTTATCAATCGATAAGGTGTGAGGCAGTAATTGTTGGACGAGTGTAAGCCCATGGAAGATAAGATGATATACGATGAGATAAGAAGGTGCGGCTGCTTGATAAGAGGTGCACTCCAGAATGAAAACGGGACGATAACGATAACGGTATCATATCTAGCACGCTCTTATCGCACCCCTTTCCACATCGATAAGTCTTGGTTTTTGCTGAACCGGAAGTGGATTCCACTCGTACCAGGCCCACTGCCACTGGAACTTAAGTGTTCAGTAACACTGAACACTCCTCTCCACTCCAATAACATAGGCTTACCTTATGCTCTTATGAAAAATTATCGCGACACTTCCTTAAGGTAGCAAAGTAAGTATCGCGAAGAAGGGTTCGCTGTTGTCCACGGACAGGGCATCTGCTGGCTGCACGTGCTCACGAACAAACGTGTTACAAAGAGCAATAAGTAAAACCGGTCAAACGACTGCTTTCGTTATAAAAGGGACTAATGTATAGCCTTGACGAGGAAGAACTCCAAGAGTGAGTGATTTTATCTTTTTCCACTCGCTGCCCCCCCGGAGGCTAGTCCAGGAAAGCCGCATAATCTGTAGGGTGGCACCTTTTCTGGATGTGGAAAAAAGAAAGAAAGAGGTAATGCAGGGAATAGGTCAGTTCCTCTCAGAACACGCCACAGTTCTTGACATGTCTTAGTTTGCTAAAGTGGAGAGATTCAATATATATGACAGGCTCTAACACGTCTCTTTTGTAATAGCGACCCGAGTAGGGCATTGCGCTGACAAGATTAGAAAACCTACCAATTAAAATTGCTGGAAAGCAGTAGGTTAGGCGTCTTACAACGAATCGACCTAATGTCACTCATATCCGAGCCGTTTGGGGAAAAAAAAAAAAAAAAAAAATAGTGCCCGCGTCATCGAATGAGTGGCCAATCGCCCGCACTTGATAAAAGCTGTGTGGAATGTTGCTGTTCCAACTCAACCTAAGTTCTCCAAGCTGCTTCCAACATACATCGCTGGATATCAGCAAAGCATGCTGGCAACAGCTTATCCACGCAACTTCTATCAAGTGCACACGTCACTTCCGGTGACACGCCTACCCCAACTTTCGGATATCGACTGTATTTAATCTTGTCAGCGCACTATCCTAATCTACTACTATCCTAATCTCCTACTCTACTACTATCCTACTATCGTAATATCGCAATCTACTACTCTCCGGCGATTTCAATCGATACGTATCTAATCTTGTCAGCGCAATCCTACTCTACTACTATCCTAATCTACTATATCCTAATCTCCCCGTCAATACATATGTTTTTCATTGTCGCGTACTATCCTCATCTCCGCAGTCGCGAACCATGAACGCGGCTAACCTAAAGGGCCTCTGTAATGAGAAGCAGGCAGCCACTATGTTTTGCGACTGTGAAACTCAATAGCGCTTCATCGCACAGTCACGAACACACCAAAACTAGGTCACTGCACGCAATGTGAGCCGGGACATGGTCGATGTTGCGGTTTTCGGAGTAATATTTCAAGCCAGCTCTTGTAATAGATACGAAGCGGAGCATTCTCTTTGAACTACACGGATCCAAATTTTCGATCTAGGCCTACCCCAATTCTTCAATGCCAGAGCCAAATCCCAATCTCAGTGTGCCCCTGGCATAGTTTGACCAGTGGTCATGAATATAATGCTCGTTACAGCGAGAACGCCTATCGCGCTACCACTCCTTAACAAGTTGGACCATCAAATTAATTACTTGTAGCCAAGACCTTGGAAACTTTTGGGGGATAATCATGAATTTCGGCTAGACCTGAAAAGTATGAACCTTCCTACTCGGACTTCGCCTTGATCGACTGCTCAAGGTTCTTAGGCTCAAGGTAGCTGGTATGCTGTGAGGTTATTTGGGCTCTAAAGAAAGCATGAGCGGCCCAATGTTTTGGCGAGGAACAAGTGCGATATTCATTCTGAGCAGGGTCAATCCTAGCATTGTTACTTTCTGAGAAGTTCATGACCCCCATTCCCTCCTAAAGGGGGTATCGATACGACCCTCCAACCCCTCCCCCCATTAGCACCACTAGCCTTAGGAGAAAGGGAAGTCTCCCAAACGGCCCCTCTCCTCCCACAGCCGCAACCCCTCAGATTTCCACCAATGTGGTCCCCTTTCCGACCTTTAATTTTTGTCAATCCTAAATACCTCAAAGTTCCTTCGAAAAATTGCAGATGCCCCCC